ACCAAACCCTGCTTCTCCTGTTCTTCTTCTTCAGCATTGTTTATTAGGGTTTCACATTTCCATTAACTTGCCACGCCAGTGTACTTCAGTCTTCAAGGCTCACATTATCAGAAACAGACCTAGCACCACACACACACACACTATACTTGATTGATCCATGGAAACTTGCTTTTAACTTGAGAGTTAAAGTCATGCAAATCCATCAGTAAATGAGGAGAGATCGATGTCATATCCGCTGTTAACAATACAAGTTTGGTTTCTCCAAATAGACCGTACTGTTTGTTACAAGCAGGCTTTAAATAAGTAAATCGATTATTTCTTCAGCTTATTTACAAGTCTTCAAATTTTAATATTTACATGTGGAACTTCAATATTTACTAGTAGTTGTAGTTGGGGCCTATAGATAATTAATTTTCTTACACGAGAATTATATATAATTCTAGCAATTATTAATGTTCTGAGTGGACTATACGCTGCCAAAAATTATCCCATGGATAATAGGCATATTCTCTCCATTTCTTTCTTTCTTTCTTGCCAAAGGAGATATTCTCTATTTCTGAATATAAGAGAAACTATCACGTGGTATTTTTTTAATAAGCAAAATTATACATTTCAAAAAATATAAGAGAAAAAACATTATTGCAAACTTATGTGATTAAGTACAACAATATTTTAGTCCAAATTTTTTTATTTTCAAATAATATTATTACAGTTAACCAACTTTTTTAAATTGTATAAGTTGATTATTTCTCTTATATCCTTATACATCCATTTGTGGAGACTTTTCTGACGCATCATTATAGTATCCCTATATATATATATATATATATATATATATAGTTTAAATTAAATTTAGTTTGAAGGGACCTCTAATAATTAATATCTTTTAATCTGTGTCAGTGAATGATTTTAATTCAATAAATAAATTGGAGTCACAAAACTAAGAAGATCTAGTGTGGTAGTTTTGGATTTGTTGGTACATATATATAGAGCCTTGTGCACACAAATTAAAATATATTGACACTACTGTGTGAATAGTATGAATCCAATTAAAATTACATGCAACAAGGCTATCAGTATTAGTGTGCTATTATACAAGTGCTTGAATAAAGTTAAAAAAAAAAAACAAGAGTAATGAAGGAGGATGGCGTGTGTATCACGGTTTCTAACATAATTAAATCATATTTAAAACAATTCTTAAGTGTGGAGAATTCATCTGTTTTTTGTATTGTGAGGACGTAGATTTTTGAACCCTACCAATGTAGAAATATACAAAACTTCCTTAGAAGTAATTTTAGATCAACAAACTTATCTACACGAGTTATAATCAAGGGAGATTCTTTTCATTTTAACCCATATTAAATAAGTGGTTGGGGATTCAAACTTTAACTTTTGTGTATGCGACAATTTAGTTAAGAGAGATCTATTCATTACTCTCAATATCTAAGAAGAGATATTTCTTATTATGGGCAAAGCCTACTCCTTATATTTATTAAAAAAAAAAAACAAGGACTTGTGTTTGGTTTGAAGAGAATGATGTATAATAATTGCTTGAATATAATGCAGCTCCATGTAAACTAGTGAATCAATGGTGCTAATTTAATAGAAATTAAAAAGAAATCAAAAAGTGATTTCTTTAAACAAAAAATTCAACTCGTTGTGTGAGATCATTATTATTAATAATAGTTTTATGGGTACTTAGAGAATTTTTTGACATACTTATTTAACATAACTATATATTTCAAGACTCAACCTCGATAGTTATAAAATGATTTTATCCCTTCTACAAGTTGAAGCCTTGGTAAAATTCAACTTTTTTTTTCTTTGGGGGGGTGGTTGGTAAAATCCAACTTTTAGTTAAATATATGTGAAGCGAGACATTTTCTTCTTACCCATTTAAATCAATGCCATTAAAAGGAAGGCTAGATTGGCCCATAATAAGATAATTCAGTCCAAACCAAAAGGTGTTGCCTCACACAAACCATTTCTTGAGCCCGAACATTTTCTCATATGGGCCTTCGTAGTCCATAAGACTATTCTAATTTCACAGCCCATTGAATATTTTTAATTAGTTTTCACAAACAGTGAACCTCGTATTATGCACTCTAATTGATTTTGTTTGTTTGTCTATTTTATACTTATTGCTAAATTTAAATTAAATTTTCAAAACCTTATTTCTTAATTAAATTTAAACATTTACTTTCCTTTCTTTAAAAAAAAGGTTATGAAAGCTACTTTTGACAGCGTATCTGGGGCACGAACTGTTGTTTGATCGATAGAAAATAAAACAAAAATACTTTTGATTTACTATATTATTTTATTTACTATTAAAAAACCAATGAATATATAAAGACAAAATTACTTGTCACATTTGATTTACTGTTTATTTCATATTGATCTACATTTGTTTGACTAGGCCGCCACTAATTAGTCTGTGCTTATCTTCAAGGCTTTCAATTAACGTAGAGACTTAACAGGCTTAGATATTTTATAATTTTTTTAACTAATACCTGAATCTTTCTTTAAGATGTGATTAATACCTGAATCTTTCTTTAAGATGTGATTTACATTTTACTGAACAATGATTCAATTAGGGCTTGTTTGGTTTTGTTGTCATTATTTATTTTTAAAAACTATTTTATAAATCAAAATTTAAAAAGTATCTTTCAAAACACAACAAAATAATAATTCATTTGATTATGTTAATTTAAAAATAATTTTAAAATTAAAAATGGCCGATAATGATAGTTGATAGTGGTTAATTATCGCCTTTGATGGTGATTGAACATAACTGAACATATTTACAATAATCAAATGTAATATTTTTTTAAATAATAAAAGAAAGTGAAAACAATTCTAAGGTATTTTCATTTTTTTCTTTTAAAAATAAAAAATAATAACATTTTTAAAAAAATTTATTTTGATATTTTTAAACTTAACATGACTAACCCTAACTAACCCCAACCAACTAATTAACGGTGTCATTACTTGAAATACAAGCTTTCATTATCAAGTTTGGCGGTTTGTAAAAACAGTTAAATCTAAAACATATATCCAAATGAATTTTTTTAAAAAAAAATAATTTTTTAAAACAGAAATCAAACATGCCTTTAGATTCTCTTATTTTTGTTTTCTTATTCAAAACCTGTTTTAAAAACAGTTGACAAAGAAAGCTATTGTGAAAATATAAAATTAAACGGAATAAGACAAGCTCTAAGTTTCTCTTTAGATTGCGGTTGAAATATTTTATGAACCTAGCCAGAGCAAAAAGGGGGAAAAAGAAGAAAAAAAATTGTAGGATTTTACTAGAAAATTATAGGTAAATGGAATACAAGATTGATGACTGAACTGGAAACAAATGCGGAATTAGTGAATAATTTTGACCATCCTATTATTGACCAGTATGCCCAATCAACCACTCCAACAATGAAAATAATAATTTGATCATAAAATTCTAGTCTCTTGTTTTCAACATTATTTTTTTCTTAGCCACTAGCCAAGTCAAAAAACTAGACTTAGACCGTGCACGTTGGACTTGGACCCAATCTGATACGGACAGGCTCAACCATTAAAAAACAGACAAATAAGCACAGGTCAAAGTCAAATTATGCAGAACATACATTTCAGGTATCTCGGAATTTTCTTTCTGACTTTGTTTATCAATGTTCCAAAGTGTTGGATATACATATTCCTCAGGGTTCTGTGTTTGGACTTCTCTGTTGAACTCCAAATTCTGTTTAATTCGTTGAACTTCTTTCTTGGTAAACAATTCGTTGAACTTCTTGTTAGCAGTCATAGAGAATCAAGTTGGTGCAGGTTTCTACAGTAAACAAACATTGAACCTCGTATTGTGCATGCATATGTGTGTGTAAAAAGAATAAAAGGATTCGAGATCATCCAACAGTATATGCAATGCCACGTTAATTTTTGTTTTGCTATCTCTTAAGATGTCAAACTATATATTTGAATAATAACCCAAAAAAATCATGTGCTACATATATAGGAGTATTCTTTGTTTTTTTTTTTTAAGAACTTGATGATTTGGTCAATTTCTTTTTCTTTTTATTGTGTACATGTATTATCTTATTGAAGAGGATTATGTTGAAGGTACAATTGAGCATTAAATGTAAACACTTCTTTCATGTTCAAATGTTGGATCACCAATATTAATTCTTTTCTTAAATTATTGAAAATTTCAATGGTGTCCCAAAATGTCAAAGCATAATATCCATGACATTAGGCCAAAGTTGTTCTTTCTTAATAATAGGAATATTCTATAGTGGCAATAGAGAAATAGATCTCTCTCAGGTATATAAAATGAAAAAAGATAAATCTTTTTTAATTAAATCTGCTTCACACATAAATAACAGAAATTGAACTACCCAACCACTTTATGTGTAGTTGGTTGGAGGGACAGATTTAAAAGAAAGAAAAAGGTGAGGGAAAACAATTGCATTTGATTGAAAAAGGTGAATGATACCAATTGGGTTGGGTTTAAAAGAATAAGTTAGTTTCTCATACCATGAGGAATTATTGTTCGAACCTCTATTGTGCGAGATGCTCATGTTTAACACCTAACCACATTTTAAATAGGATTATCTTTAATAAAAAAAATATCTTTAAGTAATAAATAAAAAAATGAAGGGTAAATATATCCCTCTTTTTGTTTGGTTAAAACCTTCCTTCAAAGATGCGGGGATCCTCCCTTCATTTGTTAAAATATTCTCTCTCTAATTTCTCCTCAAATTATGCTTTTTTTTTCCATACCAAAAAAAAAATTATGAATTGAGAATTTTTAAAAAGTGTGGAGTTTATAAAATCTTTCTGAAAATAAAAGAGAATCAGAAACAGTGTCTGTGTGTATGTGTGTGAAAAGAGATGAAATGACTCTACTCCCACCACCCTACATCTCACTCTCTCAACCTCAAAGAGCCATTATGATTCAAATGATTAGAGAACGAAAGAAGGTGCATCCACTGATTAATTCTGCCAAGGCAAATATCTGATGAGTTTGGCAGTGTAGCTTTACTTATATAATTCATATAAATAACATATAAAAAAGAATGAATGCAATCAAATATGCTTATTCATTTTGATCAAGCGCTGTAATCAAAACACACTAGTATATGAAACAGACCGTAAAAGCTAAATATTCCATTCCTAAGCGAGCAAAGAACAGAGCAGAGAAACTATAACAAGTTGACAAGTCTCAGAACAACCCATCGTTCTTCTCTTCTTGTGAAGCCTAATCATCAAGCCTCGAAAGGATTTGGGATTTCCCCCTTCAAATTCCAGATATCGTCGTCCCAAACAACGTCACCGTACAGATCAGCAACGAAAGCCTTGCCGGAGAAATCCATATCCCAGAACGGGAACCAAACAGAACCCCACGACATCTGCTCGTCGACGAAATCTCCGATCCAAGGCCAAGTCTCTTCCCAGTTATTAGCCCAGCCAGCAACATTTTCCTGATCAGTTCCCGCTATTTCCATCTGCTTCACTTCCTTCTTCTGCTCCTCCTTCTGCTTGTGATGATGATCAGCCTCATCAGGTTTGGCCTTCCTCTTCTTCTTGGCCATGGCGGCCATTTCTGCAGCTTCAAAGCCGCTCACACCCACCACTCTTTGCCTCTTCATGATTAATCTGCAGAATGAATGAAGTGAAGGAGGAAGAGAGAAGCGATGTATTTATACGTCGAGATCAAGAAGATAGTGATGTCATGAGTGAATGTGGATTTTGGTGGCACCTGCTGTATATATGGGAAGAGGGAGGAGAGAGAGAGAGAAAGTGGCAGCTCAGGCTGAGAGTTAGAGACGCGAGTCGCGAGTCGCGAGTCGCGAGATTGGAGTCAAATTCTGAAACTGGTCAACATTCCTCACGTGCTGGCTACGTTCGTTGAATATTTCCCATCTTCCTGGGGGGACTCATGCCCAGGTTCAATAACTTTAATACCATTACCAAAATTTATCCTTTTACTATAAATATAAATCATGAGCATAAATATTTTTTTATTTTCTAGTTTCCATCAACGTTTTCCCATATCACAACTTCTCTCTTTTGTTCTTCTTCTTGTTTTTTTTTTTGGGTCGGGGTAAAATCCACCTCACAAGCTCAATTCAAGGATTTTGTTTCCTTTTGACCAGTCATTATTGTTAGATATTTCCTTCCTTTATTCCTTTTGTTGTTGTTGTTGTTTCCATTATAATATGCTCTTACTTTATTTCCATAATTAATGCTACCTCAAATTTCTAAAGTTATTAAATAAGGTCATAATTGAAAATATAGTCATTAATATTTTTTTAAAAATTTAAAATAACGTATGAATAGAAATATAAATTTCTTTCAAAAGTACTGTACTACTTAAAATATTTATTTTTTTAGGATAAATAAGCAAATTACAATCTTAAACTTTAAATCCAATAATACTATAGACCTTGAATTCATTTATTGTACATCTTAACTTTTAAAAATAATGCAATCTGATTTTTATTGTTAACAAAAATTAACTTTAATTATTAGTTGATGGAAAATAATAGAAAAGTACCTAAAAAAATTATCAACAATTATAATAAAGGATTCAAAAATTACAAACAAAGATTCAAGAAATCACATAAAAGGATTTTAAAAAAAAAAAGTGGCTCTTTTATGTTATTTTCTATTCAACTAACAATTAAAGTTATTTTTTTAAAATGGTAGGAGTTAGATTACATCATTTTTAAAAATTGAAAGAATAATTTGCATGATAAATAAGTTTATGTCTATAATATTACTGGACCTAAAATTTAGAGAGTAATTTATTTATTTACTCCTTTTTTAAAATAACAATAGATTAACTTGTTAGGAGCTATGCTAGTTTAATTAGATAGCTCGAGTTTGAATTTTTGATATATTATCTAAGAATACGTTTGGAAGTTTATGATTGAATGAAAAGGAACGATCATTAATAGAATGGAATGGAATGAAGTTGAGTGAAGTGGAATAAAACAAAATTTTTTGTTGTTTGGGAGTTTAATGATAGGAAGAAATAGTTTTATAAGACCATTTTTTGGGAGTTATTATAAAACGAATGAAACGGAACGATTTAAAATTTTTTTCTTTCATTATTACCCATGTGATTAAGTTTAAAGAAAATAATAATGCTGATTAAATAATTATAATATTTATCCAATAAAAATAATAATAATTAAAATTAACGATTAAACAAAATACTCAAGAATTAAGAATAAAATGAGAAAACAAGTAATAGAACTATTTAAGCAAACACTCCTGTTGTGCAAGAGGAACACAACAGAGTCATAGTGTTGAAAGGCACGACAAAGAGAGATGGCAGAAGCGAGAGAGATATAGTAGGAAGTAGGGCTATACATTATGCTTGAATGCTTGATTAGTCCAGCCTTGCCTGAAGCATTTGGGCACAGGGGGCTAGGCATCAACAGTGGTCAAACCTTGCCTTTCCCTACCAAAACATGTACAAGTTTTTAAAAAAAAAATTTGTGAATAATATTTATCTTATGAAATTATTTTTTATTGAAAGTTATAATGAATTATATTATTTTTATGATCTTTTAGATATTTTTTATCATTATAATTTTTTAAATCTCTTTCAAAATTTAAAATTTATTTTTAACTTATTATTATGTAAAAATAATTGACAATTGTTGTTCATTTGAACTTTTAAAAAACTACTTTTTTAATATTAGTTTTATGAAAAATATATTTTAAATAATAATTATAATATTTTTTTCAACGAAAACTTTGTTAATATATTTTTTAAAAAAATACTTGTAAAAATATTTTCGAATCAATGGGGCTGGCCTGGTGCCTAAGTGCACGTCAGGCTTGGCACCAGGTTGGGGTGATGCTTGGCCCAACCCTACGCATGTGCAACCCTAACAAAAGGCGAGAGAGATGACTGGAGAATTAAAATAACAAATAAGATTTTTTTATTAGGATAGAAGGTTGGAAGTAATTTTGTAAATGAAATAATTATACTTTGCTACTCCATCCTTGACCTCCTAATTTGGAGGGATAAAAAATATTAAACTATGGATGGCAAATGAGGGCTTTAGAGGCTTTTCCTTATTCCATTTTTTTTAAAAAAAAGCTCACAAACAGTAATTTATATCTTTTCACTATCTCACTCTATTCCATATTTTCTTAAAAAAATCTTCCAAATGTAGAGTAAATACTTGTTGGGAGAGCTTGTTGTTTTTGTGATCTAACCCAACTCTTCAGATTAGCTAAGGCTCGAAAGATTCTAGAGATCGGGTGCACAAAAAAAAATATTTCTTTTAATATCGATGCATACTTATACGATACAAATATCATTTTTCTTTTTCTTTTTTTGTCCGAGGGGCAATTCCTTGAGCTTGACTGCTTGAACATGTATATAGTTGTGTGTGTGCAGTAGTCCAATAAAATTAGATTTAAGTGGTGGTGATGGTGGTGGTTTTTTTTGTTTTTTGGGCCAAAGATTTAAGCGTTATTTGCGCCTTGAAAATTAAGAGACGGCCAAATTTCGGATGCATTTGCTGGTCTGATTCATGCTTAGAGTACCATTGGGGGGGGGGGGGGGAGATTAACGTGAAGGCAAAGATGATAGAAGTATTAAATAATTAAGTGTGAAGCTACAATTGGAGTATGAATAATTAGGTATATAAAAACTCGATTTGAGGCGAATATGAGGACAAATCGAGAACGGACAATGTGACCAAAGAATCAATGAGTCTTTATGCGACAGAATATCAGTCTTCTTCACGCAATTACGACCAAAGTAAAACATTAATGGATTATCCCTGTGTTGCACTCAATTATTGATCACGTTTTAATTCTTTGATTAAACAATGGCAACTACGTTTTCCTTTAATTTCTTAACACATATATCAAAACAGTCCAAACTCCAAAATACAGTGCTTCTTCCCTCCTTTACAAAGGTTAAAGTATACTCCCTCCATTTTTAGTTATAAAAAAAATATCACTTTTTATTTTTTATATAAGTAAAATCATCTATTTCAATAAATATTTATTATACATTTTTTAAATCACCCTTCATAATTTACATTAATGAAAAATAATTGATGCATGTTTATGTTAATTAACATATGGCATTTTAATTCAATTTTTTTATTTTTAGACATAATTATTATGATAACCAATTTTCTTAAACTATGTGATATCCCTTTTTTTTATATATATAGAAACGGAGGGAGTACTTTTAGTCTTCTAACTTTATATGAGATTTTAATTTGATCCTTTAATTTTGTAAAATATCTTTCTAGTCATTTAATCCCAAAATTGTGTCCCACATCGAGGAGTCTTATAAGTGATGCGAGGTTTATAAGTGTAAGAAAATTTTTCATCCAATAAGCTAATCTTTTGAAATGAGTTCTCCTTTTGAGTTTGTGCTTATCACATTAGTGTTCTCATCATTGAGAGACCAATGTCACGGAAAGACTACCCACGGAAGGTTTTGACCGATAGGAGGTCAAGTGAAGTGTTGTGGAGTACTGGAGTTGTCGGGAACGTTAGGCCTCAACAAGGTGGCATTATCTCGAGTCCTACATCAGAGAGCCTCACAAGTGATGGAGGGTTTATAAGTATAAAGAACTCTCTCATCTAATAGGCTGACGTTTTGAAATGGATTCTCCCTTTGGACCTGTACTCATCACACATTGTTAGTTTCAAATGAATATTTTTTGTATTAATCATCATTATTTTAAAAAATAAAATTAATATATTAATATTTAAAAATATTTTGTCAATATTTAAAAATTTAATATAAAAAGTTGTTGAGATAAAATTAATAATATTAAAATTAAAATATTAAAAAAATACTTTACAAAGTTAAAAAATTAAAATAAAATATTTAAAATTAAAGAACTAAACATATTCTTTTAAGATGATAACCATCAATGGATCGGCCATGCCGTCGAAACGAACAAGATTGTGTACAGAGATGAAGAGACATATTACATTGACTAATTAATTGTAATAAAAGCTGATACTTTCTCTATTTTTTAAATTAAATTATATAACTTACATATATTAATAAAAGAATTTTAACTAGTTTTATGTTTTAAAATTTTTTCCATCCTTTTATTTTACCCTCAGTTGATGCTAATTAATTAGTTTCTTAACTTTTTTCTTAAGGGTTGCCAATAGGGCATTTTAGAACAAAATTATTAATTATTCCTAAAATTTTGTAAATTGTCTTATATATGGGAATGACATGCCCTCTAACGCTTTGTCACATAATTAAAAACGAAACAATAATTGTATGATTGAAATGCGCCTATTTATTTTATCAAAAATAAAAATAAAACGGAAGAAATACACAAGCATTAACGATACACTAACATCAGTAATATTTTATATTCATTATTAGGAGAGAAATACATGAACGCATGTATCATGATAATCTTAAAGACCTAAACAACAATGATAGTTTTAACGTTAAAGTAGTGAGTAATTATTTATTTATTTTAAAAGGGAGGAAGAATGTAATTGTTCCTTCTTTTTTCCTTTTCCTTTTTTCCTTTTTTCCTTTTTGGCGAAACATGTTATGAGCACCTTCACTAGTTTGCTTTAGAATCGGCACAAGGGGCGAAAAACAAGAAAGAAGATATGCTCAAAATTAAAGATTGGCATTCATGAGTCATGAATCATGAATCATGACTCTTATTAATTACTAGAAAATATATTCGTGCATGTGTGTGTGTGTGTGTTCCTATAAAATGGCAGAATAATATATTTAAT